TGTGTGAGACCACAACACCTCTGCAAGTATGTCTGCCTTGTGTGGGTGAGAAATGTGGGTAGGACTTGACTTATAGGGTTATATATTAATTCAATCTGTGTTGTTAATTTTGTGGTTAAGCCCGTCTGGACGAAGTGTTCTGATTATAATATCCTTCTGCTAACTGATAAATTTTATACTTGTAATAATCATATATATATATATATATATATATATATATATATATATATAGGTAATTACACTCGTCTTGGAAACCCTTCGGTGTCTTGATTTGCTAATGGTCAAATCAATCTCGAAGGAGAAAAAGGTTTTTAAAAAGAAAGAGCTATGAACATGAACGTCTGTCGAAAATAATCGTCCAGAATACAGGTTCAAAGCCAAAAGAAAAAAAACCCGACACGAGTAATCAACTGACTTAAAAGTGCTCAATACAAAAGTAGAGCAGAACTAGTCAAACCTAGAGAGCCAGACAAACCTACCAAGGTTTCACCTAAGCGGCCAGCTTTCCCTGACGATCCGCTTAGGTGAAGCCTTGGTAGGTTTATCTGGCTCTCTAGGTTTGATATATATATATATATATATATATATATATATATATGTGTGTGTGTGTTTGTGTTTGTGTGTGTTGTGACCTAGAAAGGTTTACTGAATGAGGAATAACCAAAACGGAGTTTGGAAATGAAACGCTAATCTTTATAACATCAACAAAATACAATACTCGCCAGCAACGTGAAATAGGTAAACCACTGCTAGTGATGGACTATTTAAACAACAAGCTTGCAGCGTCTGTGCTCAAGAATTACTTTCTATCCCATTAGACACATCAAAACCAAAAAGCTGGGATAAAATAAAATGCGAGGTCAATTTTCCTAATTTGAGGCTCTCTCTGGTTCAGCATCGCCTCGCCTCTCTACTATTTGCTTCACAACCGAGTAGTAGCGCCTGGCTCAGCGTAGTGGTCTCTTCATCTACCGGTACCCTTCTAGATGATGTGTGCACTCGGGTCGGAGTCGCGATCCGTCTTGGACTCAAATTATGTGAGCGTCACAGATGCAGATGTGGAGCCTCCATCGATGTGTTTGGTATGCATCCTCTCTCCTGTCGTCGTAGTGCCGGCCGCTTTCCACGGCATGCAGCAATAAACGACATCATCAGAAGACATTTGGATGCAGCTGGGTTCCCTTCCCAAATCGAACCCATAGGCCCCTCGACTGTTGTGATGGAAAGCGGTCGGATGGCATTACCATTTTCCCTTTTAAAATGGAGAGGTCGTTGATTTGGGATGCGACCTGTGCGGATACATTTTCGGTCGGTAATTTGATCAGGTCCGCGGGTGAGCCGGGGTCCGTCGCCCGAGACACAGAGATGAAAAAAATAGTTAAATATTCTTCGCTTGCTAATAGATTTTTTTTACCTCTGTGGCAGGGGAGACTTCTGTGGTTATTGGCCCTCGTTCGATGGCGTTCCTTCGGGGGATTGGCGCGATTGCAACTCGATTAAGGGACGCGTCTCGTGAAACGGAGTGGCTCTTGCAGCGTGTCTCACTGGCCATGGTTCGCGGTAATGCTTTCTCCATCATTGCGGATGGTAGAGGATAGCAAAAAAATATTTTTGTTTATAGTTACTTTGTTCAAACTTTTTTTTTCAGTATATAAATTTCTCTATATTTTCTCGCCTACTTTTTCTGAATGGGGATAATAAATAAATGCTACTTTTCAGTCAAAAAGAAATGATACAATTAGAAACACGAAAGCTAATATAAACATGACGTCTACACAACCAATGAAAAAGTACCATTTGATTTGTTTCACTTATTTCAAAAAGTGACGTCATCATTTCTTAAACGTTGACGTTACATCTTGAATAAAAATTTAAACAGGATATTACTCCCACTTACAATAGTGCCCAACGTATTTATGAGGATTGGGACATACCCATTAGTGTTCATAGGTACGGTATATGTAACAATAAATACATACATACATATATATATATATATATATATATATATAGATATATATATATATATATATATATATATATATATATATATATATATATATATATATGTATTGTTATATACCCTAATATAAAGCATATTATATATATGTATGTATTGTTATATACCCCAATATAAAGCATGCTTAAGAGAGATATGAAATTAACCCCTCCCTATACTCTACCTTGTCTCTTTAACTACAACTCTCACGCCCCCCCCCACTGTTAAATTACAAAATTACACTACCCATCAATTTCTAATCTCATTTTCCTTTCATTTCGTTGTTGGAAGTGTTACCTGATGATCCGGAGTCCTTTAAAAGGATTTTGGTGAAATAAATTATTGTAATGGTACCTTAAAGTGGTCTGTTTTCATTTTATATATATATATATATATATATATATATATATATATATATATATATATATATATATATATATATATATAATTGTTTATATATCATATGTACTTGTTAGAAAGCGCTCAATATCAGAGATAGAGCTAACATATTTGGTTCGATTGATGTGAGTTTGTGACCCTGGGTTTCACGCTTTTGCGATTGTCAGAGTTCGCCTGACGATCGCAAAAGCGTGAAACCCAGGGTCAAAACTCACACCAATCAATATATATATATATATATATATATATATATATATATATATATATAAAATGAGTCCATAAATTATCTGTACAAATTTAAGAATTCATGAAAAATTGAAAAATCAGGTAAGCAAATGAAATCTTATTTAAATCGATCTGAAAATTTCCCCATGTGTTCTATTGGTTGCCCGCAACACATTTTGACGATGTTTGAGTTTTGTTTTTTGCGAGACAATTCTTGTTTTTATAAACTTCTTCTGGAAGGTTCGGGGGCTAACAAAACTTGGCGTGTTTGGTTTTTCATACTTTGTACTGTAATTCCGCCGGTGCTGTGTGCCCGATTTGACCCCTATGAAACAAGATACACAATGAACTTTCTCTTGCGATGTTATCATAATCATTTAAAAAGCAGGAATCAATAATAAGCACTTTTGACATCTACTAGATAAGAAAAAAAAAAGAAGAAAAAAACTATGTAAATAAAAATTTTGATAAGATTTCTTTAAGATCCAAAGATGTCTATCGATGAATCTTAACTCTCATGGATACAATAAACTGTGAAGGTTTTACAGATAATTTATAGACACCTTGTCAAATTTATAGACACCTTGTCAAATTTATTCTATAATTAAATATAGAACAACAAATAAATTTAACTGCGCTTTCTCTAAGGTATCGTCATTTTCATTAAAAGTCACTCATCAAAAATAAGATTTTTGCTTTAGTTTATTTTGTTTTACGGCAAATCAATACATCTATGGGCTATTTAATACCGACAAGATTTTTAGGATAGGTTCGTATGAATAGAATATGTATTCTTTGTAAGAAATCAGTTTGGTTTGGTTTATTTTGTTTTACGGCATATCAACGTCAATGGGTTATTTAATGCCGACAAGATTTTTAGGATAGATTCGAATGAATAGAATATGTATTCTTTGTAAGAAATCAGTTTGGTTTGGTTTATTTTGTTTTACGGCATATCAACCTCAATGGGTTATTTAATGCCGACAAGATTTTTTAGGATAGGTTCGTATGAATAGAATATGTATTCTTTGTAAGAAATCAATTTGGTTTGGTTTATTTTGTTTTACGGCATATCAACACCACAATCTGGGTCAGGGTGTACCTGGGAACGCCAGCAATTAATAGATGGTTCCACGCTCCTCAAAACCTTCCCGTTTTGGATGTAGTTTATCGTCTTACCAATGAAGTGGATGTAGTTTATCGTCTTACCCAGAACGCTATTTGTGTCTGTTTGTGTGAGTGCCAAAACGAGAAACATATTGAATTATCCTGAACGGAAGCGTATGGTAGATTATTCCAGCAATGCTCGCCTTTAATTTCGGGATCCACTAAAGTAAATGTATGTTCATGATCATACAACATAATTCCCTTCTTCAAAAAATTACTATAATTAAAATATGGTATAATTGGCATATATATATATAGATAGATAGATAGATAGATAGATAGATAGATAGACCTAGTGAGCCAGACAATCCTACTCAGGTTTCACCTAAGTGGATCGTCAGGGAAAGCTGGCTAAAGACGCAAAAGAGAAACAGCATATTGACAGATTTCATGTTACTGGCTATTTCTTTTTTTAAAACCTTTTTTTCCTTCGAGATTGATTTGATTATTGGCAAATCAAAAATTCGAAGGTTTTTCGAAAATAGTATAGTTACCTATATATATATATATATATATATATATATATATATATATATATATATATATATAAACAATGAAATCCCAAACCACCTCATATGGGAAATATCCTATTTCGGCAGACGATTAATAATTAATATTTTATATTACTAAGATCCACTTGGATTATATACCAACAGAATTGTTACCTTTACTCTCTCTCTCACTCTCTCTCTCTCTCTCTCTCTATATATATATATATATATATATGTGTGTGTGTGTGTGTGTGTGTGTGTGTGTATAATATGATCTGTTACGTAAAAAAGTAATCCGCAGTACGCACTCGTGTCTGTGAATTCTATATATATAACTTATTCTTGCTCTAATCTAAACTTGTCAGTACCTTAATTTTTTTTTTTTTTTTTTTTTTTACTGTTGTGTACTCGGCGGCCATATTTGGTACTCGTCCATTGCCCGCCAAATTCCTTGGTCTCTAAATCCCGTTCAGTGCGCATGCTCATACATCCAACGAAGCCAACTGTGAGTCACTTGAATAGAGTGAACAGAAAGAAAAGAAAAGAAAAGAAAAGAAAGATAAAAAAAAAAAAATGAAACTTTCCCTGCAACGATGTGGCAATTATAAGTCAGAGCAGCCAGCCAAAGTTGGAAGCAGGAAGTAAACGGGCAGGTGTTTTTTTTTTTTTTATTTTATTTCGTTGATAGTCTTCTGCGGTATTTTTCATTATCATTACAGTGAACCTTCTTCTTTCTAAACAAAAGAAACGTCTTTCTGTCTTTGGCTTCTCCTATTTCTTCATTTTTTTCTCCCATTTTGCGGTACGAAAAAAAATCATATTTCTTTACGTTAGTTTTTCTCTTCTTATATTTTTGATTGCTCGCTTCTTCCCCGACATATTTTTCTTTTTTCTCACCTTACTTTTTATTTTATTTTTTACTCTCTTCAAAAGAAGCGTTCTTCTTCTTCTTCTTCTTCTTCTTCTTCTTCTTCTTCTTCTTCTTCTTCTTCTTCTTGTCTGTCATCTTCTTCTTCATCTTCTTCATTTTCTTTTTTATCTACATTTTCTTCATCTCCTTTTTCTCATTTTGTCTGTCATTTTTTTCTTCATCTTCTTCTTCATCTACCTCTTCGTCTTCGTTTGGCCGTATTTTAACTATAAATGAATAAAAAAACTATAAACTATAAATGAATTATTTTCTTTTACTTTAGTTTCCATCCTTTTTATGCTTTCATCTTTCCTACACTCCATTATTCTCTTCCACCAAACCCTTATTCCGTTTTTCTTCTTCTTCTTCTTCTTCTTCTTCTTCTTCTTCTTCTTCTTCTATTACTACTACTACTACATCCTCTCCTCTCCTCTTTCTTCTTCTTCTTCTGTTCCTCCTCTTGCTTCTCCTCTTCCTCCACGCCTTCTTCTTCTTTTTTTTCTCATACTCCTCCTCCTACTACTACTACTACATCCTCTCCTCTTTCTTCTTCTTCTGTTCCTCCTATTGCTTCTCCTCTTCCTCCACACCTTCTTCTTTTTCTCATACTCCTCTTCCTCCTCCTCCTTCTTCTTCTTCTTCTTCTTCTTCTTCTTCCTCTCATACTCCTTCTTCTGTTTCTCTTCCTGCTCCTCCTCCTCATTCTTCTTCTTCCTCTTCTTCTTCTTCTTCTGCTTCCACTCATACTTTTCCTTCTGTTTCTCCTCCTGCTCCTCCTCCTCTTCCTCCTCCTTCTTCTTCTTCTGTTCTCATTCATACTCCTCTTTCTGTTTCTCCTCCTGCTTCTCCTCCTCCTCCTTCTTCTTCTTCTTCTGCTCGCCCTCTTATTCCTTCTTCTTCTTCTTCTTCTCCCCCTCTTACTTCTTCTTCTTCCTACACAACTTTTCTCAAAAGCCATAAACAACGTTTGAAGGAAAAAATAAAACATTTTTTCTGAGAAAACGCCCTAACTTAAAATAAAACAACTAAGTAATTTAAAATTGCATAAAAACAAAACAAAATATACAAAGCAACGAGTTTGAAAAAGCAGCCGGGAAACATCCACCCGTAACATAGATCTCCTGAACATCCGTAGGAAGACGTGAACACCGAACAACGCTCAAGGTAAAGCAGGCATCAACACACCTGAATAAATGGAAAATTAGAACTCAAGGAGAAAGCGGTCACCAGAAAGGTGCAATTGCAAACAAAACACATGGAGTTGGCTGTGGCAGTTGGCACGGATGTCATCTCATCTGGTAAAGACGTCACTTGATTCGCTGACTAAACCAGACTCGTGCCTAAATCTTTTCCTTTGGGCCATAACACTTCGATTATTCTGTGCTAATGATCATTGGTGAACTTTTAAATATTGTTTAAATCTGAGGAATGGGAAAAGTCTAATCCCGTTAATTCAATAAAGGGTTCGGCACTAAATTTCCGAATAGGTTGATAAAAACGACGACAGACACCTAAAGAAGGCCGGAGAGTACTACGGTCGCAACCTTGTAAGTATAATCAGCCATGAGAATATGCTGGATCGAATAGCAAAATATATGATAATAATTTCCCATCTCAAAAATTTTGGCATAAATGATGAAAGAAGACCGGAGAGCGCACCGGCCGAAACAATATGATTATATTTATCCGAATATCAAAGCATATAAAACTCCTCCTCCGCTTTCTTCTTCTTCTTCTTCTTCATTTTCTTTTTCATCTTCATCTACCTCCTCCTCTTCTTCTTCTTCTTCTTCTTCTTCTTCTTCTTCTTCTTCTTCTTCTTATTTTTTGGCAGTCATCATCTTCTTCATTTTCTTTTTCGTCTACCTCTTTTTCTTCCTCATTTTGTCAGTTATCTTCATTTTCATTTTCTTCTTCTTCATCATCTCATTTTATCAGGCATCTTCTTTTTCCTTTACGTCTTCACCTACCTCTTCTTCTTCTTCTTCTTCTTCTTCTTCTTCTTCTTCTTCTTCTTCATTTTGCCAGTTATCTTCTTTTTCATTTTCAAGGCGTTGGTTAGATCCATTGAGAGGACCTAAAGAGTGTGAGTTCAATACCCGGTTAAGGCAGTGGAGAACTTTCAGAGGGAAATTAGCAGGAGATAACTAATAACTGACATCCATCAAACATGGCACGTGGAACTAGAACAGTCTACCCCAGTGAGCGAAATAAAGGGTTCAGTTCGAAATTCCAACCACCTGAAGAAGGCCGGTGCGTACAACGGCTGAAACGTTGTAATAAATGTGGCGACAAAGATGAGGACAATAGTCTGAATAATGTAAATAATGTAAAAATAGGTTTTAATATATACCAGAAATTACCGATTGATATGCCATAAAACAAACCACGCAAAACCAAACCATTCTTGAGGTTGATATGCCGCAAAACAAAATAACGAATACATATTCTATTCATACGAACCTATCCTAAAAATCTTGTCGGCATTAAATAACCCATTGAGGTGTTGATATGCCGTAAAACAAAATAAACCAAACCAAACTGATTTCTTACAAAGAATATATATTATATTCATACGAACCTATCCTAAAAATCTTGTTGGCATTAAATAACCCATTGAGGTTGATATGCCGTAAAACAAAATAAACCAAACCAAACTGATTTCTTACAAAGAATACATATTCTATTCATACGAACCTATCCTAAAAATCTTGTCGGCATTAAATAACCCATTGAGGTTGATATGCCGTAAAACAAAATAAACCAAACCAAACTGATTTCTTACAAAGAATACATATTCTATTCATACGAACCTATCCGAAAAATCGTGTCGGTATTAAACAACCCATTGAGATGTTGATATCCCGTAAAACAAAATAAACCAAACCAACCTGATTTCTTACAAAGAATACATATTCTATTCATACGAACCTATCCTAAAAATCGTGTCGGCATTAAATAACCCATTGAGGTGTTAATATGCCGTAAAACAAACCAAACCACTGAAACCAACCAACCATGTTTTATTTTGCTTTCGATTCGTACACTATTATCAAATACAGAGTGCTGCAAAAGTAGGTGCCGCTCCAGTGATGTCCTGACTTCTTATGGTATCCTTTACTTTTACAAGAGCCAGATCAGGCCGTAAATGGCGTACTGCTGTCATATTTGAGCATGGAGTTCAAAAGTATCTCTGAGTCCTTAGGGTAGAAGAATTTAATCCCACCCTCCAACCTCTCTCTCTCTCATAGGCGGGATGTGGTGAGTCCCCTACTGCTCTATCACCACTTCCATGGAAAGTGCTCGGACGAACTACATTCCTTGATTCTGCCAGGTCTAACCTTTACGGCTAGGACCCGCCATGCCACTTACATTATAGCACACCACTCCCATTCTCTCTGTATTCCATAGGCGAGAAGTAAGTTCCATTCAAAGAGCTTCTTCCCGAGAACCACTGCTCTGTAAAACTGATATGTCCCGGAAAGGGATATATTTGTTCGAAGTAGCAAAGTGGTTGTTGTCTACTGTAAACCAGGTAGGACAATCTAGCAGGTAACCGTAATGGGCTGGTCCTTGTCGTAGTGGTAGGCAATAAGCGTAGGCAATAGGCGAAGACAATAGGCGTAGCCAATAGACGTCCTCTTGTACCTCCACATCAGTCTGTATTTATGGCTGACACCAGCCAATCATATTACTGTGAGGGGGAACCCAAGTGTATGCATATTCATTACATCAAAAACCGACTCCCAAGAGGATGTTTCCTCGTTCACTAAGATCTTAACAGTATCTGTCTACTTTTCTGAGATGAGTTATTATGTACACTACCCGGTTAAGGCAGTGGAGAACTTGGAGTGGGGAATTAACAGGAGATAACTGATAATTGACATCCATTAAACATGGCACGTGGAGCTAGAACAGTCTACCCCAGTGAGCGAAATAAAGGGTTCAGTTCGATATTCCAACCACCTGAAGAAGACCGGAGCGTACAACGGCCGAAACGTTGTAATAAATATGGCGACAAAGAAGAGGACAGTAGTCCGAATAATGTAAATAGTGTACATAATACCTCATCTCAGAAATATAGACAGATACTGAAAGGCCGAAACGTTGTAATAAATATGGCGACAAAGATGAGGACAATAGTCCGAGTAATGTAAATAGTGTAAGATCTTAACCTGTTCAAGTCTAGGGTTAATTGCTATCTTTCTTGTACATCTGCATAGACTGTGCTTCTTTCTCTTAGCTCTCTACCTCGAGTGGTTCTCGGGCCTTGTAGAGCGTGAAAATCACTGTAAAAAAAGAAAAGAAAATCTGTAAGCGACTTCTTACAGTCCAAAATGCATTTTGGTTTTAAATAACCAACAAAGGGTTCACTGTTATCTCCCACTCCTACCCGTATAAGCTACCCCTTAACATAACCATATACCACGAGTGGCCCCCGGGTCTTGTAAAGGGTGACCCTTGCTGTATAAACAAAAACAAAACCATAATAGTGGTCCTTGGATTCATTTAATACCATTTTCTCTGCGCGTTTTGTTTTTTTCTATACTGTATATCTACTTTTGCACATACTGTGAATATGCCATCTGTTAAATAGTTTTACAGTTAACGTTTAATCTTGATAACTTATCATCGTCTAAATCTGGCTGAGATAAATCGAAAACACTTTATAATTCTGTTTCAATATGCGTTTGACCACTAGAACAAATAATGTCACCGAGTGTAGACAGGATGGCTTCAAGATATCGAAAGACGACATTTAACCAACTCTATTTGAACTTCAGTTGCAACCTTTCATATACAGGGCACGATGGATAGATTGTCGTCTAAATTACGCAAAAATGAAAATAACACTGGCATCTTATTTTAACAGATATATTTACTAAAATGACACAAAATTATTATTATTTTAACTACTTACACTCCTCAGCAACGTTTATTGTTTTAAAAAGCGATGATTAGGATTTTAATAAAACCCAAACATATGAAAACAAATTTATACATGTTCTTTTTTTGAGGATTTACAACAAAAATGTTAAACACTATTTATTAGATTGTTTATTTACAAGAATAATTTTATATTTACAATATTCTTAAAATTCAAACTGACTAATGCAATGCAATGTTTATCATTTATGGTTTATAAAGGAATAAATATGAAAACAATTTATTTTATTTATAAATTTATAAAAATTTACTAAATTATGCAAATATGTGACCCAACTATAATGAAATCTTTATTATTTATTGTTTTATAAAGTTCGAATTGTCAATTACTCGATGTTTTGCCAACCAATCTAAGTAACACAATTCACCAGTTTCAATTTAGTCAAGTTGCATGGAGGCAGAATGGAGTAACGGATTGAGGAATCGTAGAGCCGAGTTCGAATTCCAGTCGAATCCATCATATTCACTTACGCGCTAATACCCTTGGGAAAGGTATGAATCTTCTTCTCTCTGCCCAGCTATAGGTAAATAGCAGGACAGACCGGATTCTATAGCTTTGGATGGCAACTGGTCTACCGCAGAATGAAATGGCAACCTACTGCGGGAAAAAATCTGCCTCGTCACTAATGTATCGAAAGATACATGATCGCCTAAGCGTGTATCACGCATGGCACAACTGAGTGAAATTCTCTTACGTGCTTATACCCTTGGGAAAGGTATGAATCCTTTTCTTCTCACCCCAGCTATGGGTAAACAGGAGGACAGACCGGGTTCTATAGCGTTGGATGGCAACTGGTCTACCGCAGAATGAAATGGCAATACTTAGCTAAAAATAAATAACACTGGTCAAAAAAAAAAAAAATTTGAAATGGTGTCGAGACACCAAACATCGTTTGTTACTAATTTGAGGACGCTGAATGTGAAAATGGTTAGCTATGGTTTTTGCTGTACAGAAACGCGTCTTTTTTGGAAAAAAAAAGGATTTTTTTTTATTTGGTTTCTGTATATATCTTTGACCAATGGCAATATTTCTCAAAATATAACCATAGGTTTTATTTTGAGAAATATTGCCATTGGTCTCAACCTCTCAATTTGTATTTAAACCAACAAATATTGGTCTGCTTATTGAGAAATACTATTTTTGCAATAACGATCAGACCCTAAATCTTTTAAAATAACACGATTGAATATACCAAGACCAACAAATATTTTCATCAAATCATTTAATAAATTAACAGCAGAAATAAAACCTTCGTAAACATAAGAACTATGTTAAAAATTTTCTCTTTCTTGATTGTCATTCATGTTCAATGTTATTTAAGTCGCTTTTGATACTCCAGCAGTATCATGTACAATGGAATAGGTGCATTCAATTGGGATGAATTTAGTTAGAGTTTCTTTCCAACTGTGAAAACAAAATGCTCTCAATATGCTTGGTTTCCTTCCGTAGTGAAGGGATAAATTTATGAATATCAAACAGAAGATTTTAGGGTTTCATTTTTTTTTTTTTTTAATTTCGCCTTAATTTTCAGGTTTACTTAAGTGTATTACTGATAAAGTTTATCAGTTAATTTGAATTTGGGCGATAAATTGGAAAAATTCGACACTTCTCTTTTAAAATTTTTGACTCAAAACACTTTTTTCTCATAAAATTTTTTTATTTCAGATGGCTGACATAAAATGCACGCCCTACCTGAAACATTGATTGGTTTCTACGACCCTAATTAACTACATTTTGCGATCAGCCAAGATCGTAAATTTATCTTTTTTCCAAAAACGAGTAATGTCAGTACAGCAGAAACAATAGCTAACTATGAGAAACTAAGGTCGTTTTCAGAATCAGCACCATCAAATTAGCTAAAAAAAATGGGTTTTGTTTCTTGGCACCAAAATTTATGTTGGCCAGTGTAATTTGTCATCGTCTAAATCTGACTGAGATAAATCGAAAACACTTTATAATTTTCTTTCAGTATGGGTTTGACAACTAGAACAAACAGTGTCACCGTGTGTAGAGAGGATGGCTTCAAGATATCAAAGGACGACATTTGTCGAACTTTATTTGAACTTCAGTTGCAACCTTTCACATACAAGGCGCGATAGATAAAT